TTTTTTTTTTTTTAATTCTTGTTCTTTATAGGGAACCTAAAATTTTAACCTTCTCAATCAACAGGTTGCAAAACAGGCCCAGAGAGGTCAGGTGACTTTCCCAAGTTAGTGAAATGGGTTTCATGAGCCTGGGACCTCAGGAGCCATGAGGTTAGAGTGTGAAGTTCCCGTCTGCCCTAGCAGGCAACAGTGGCCACACTTGGCATCTGTGCCCTTTCTAGATATGGGACTTAATGGGGCCATAGATCAGTGTTAGGATTGATGATCTCATTTAGGATTTGGAAGCCCACAGGTTGGATTATAGATGTCCTCTTCTTGCTTGATGGTCTGGCATTGCCCCCTGGGCCATAGGCCTCTGGTGAGGCTCCAAAGAGGGAAGTCAGAGCTCCCAAATGAAAGGGAATCTTGGGGACTGCTCTATGCCCACTCTTCTCTTCCTAGCACTTGCCAAATTTAAACAATCTTGGTAAACAGTCCATCTTACTCATTCTTGGTACCCCCTGTGGCACCTAGCACATTACTTGGCCCTTGATGGGGTTAGTGGAAGTGGATGACTGTCACAGGTTAATGTGTGTGATAAGGAAAGAAGTTCTGACACTCCATTCATTCCTGTGACTGGGCACTAGTTCAGAAAAGACCACTTTCTTTTCTCTCCACAGACCGAAATGATTCTTCTTTGGAGCTTACCTGTTCCTGATCCCTTTATCCTTTATCCTCGGCGTTGTTGACATCTCTGCTTTCCCATTGCTGCCACACTCATTTATTGGGTAATCTGCAGTTTAGGGATGTTTAATCTTAGACTCTGCAGACTTTTTCTTTGAGTGATCAGGTATAAACAGAGTAGCTCAAATGTGTCATTTTTCTTTTTCTTTTTTTTTGGGACAGGGTCTCACTCTGTTGCCCAGGTTGGAGTGCAGCGGTGCCGTCACGGCTTACTGCAGCCTCGACCTTGAGGGCTCAAGTGAGCCTCCCACCTCAGCCTCTCAAGTAGCTGGGACTACAGGCACATGCTATCATGCCCAGCTAATTTTTAAACATTTTTTTGTAGAGACAGGGTCTTGCTATCTTGCCCAGGCTGGTCTGAACTCCTGGACTAAAGTGATCCTCCTGGCCTGGCCTCCCAAATTGCAGGGATTACAGGCATGGGCCACTATGCCTGGAAATTTTTTTTTCTTAACTCATATTGAAGTTAATAATTTATGTAATTATGGAATGGACAGCCTATCCTAGTACTGGGACAAAGGTCTTATAATCTAGCAAGCTATGTAGCTCCTGAGCCCCAGTGTTCTCAGCTGAAAAATGGGGATAATACCTACCTTGCTATTCAACGTTTCACGAGCATCTAACATTGGAGATAAAGCATTAAGCAAGATAAAACAGAAAAAGTTTTTCCCCTCATCAACTAAAAATTCACAATGATACTGGAAGATTATTTTATGTGTGTGTGTGTGTGTGTGTGTGTGTGTACCAAGCACCCACAACCTAGATGACAGCCCTGTTTCGTAGTAGGTACTCAATAAATATTGACTCCCTTATCTTAGTAACACATCTCCCCTCCCCTCCTTCAACTTGGATGTATTTCAGTGTAAGACATGATTTATTCAGGAAGTTTAGAAGAAAATTATACTAATGAGTTGATTGATAAGGGTGAATGATGGTGGAAGTTGGTCAGAGAAGGCTTTGTAGAAATAGAAGAGATTTGATTAGAGCTGGGAATTGAAAGGATAAGATTTACATAAGTCATTTAACCTCTGTGCACTTTCCAGAGTTGGAACAATAGGAATACTGTTGGTTGTATGTATTTTTGTGGAGTTTAAAAAAAAGTTCAAGCCTGGGCAACATGGCTACAAAAATAAAAATTGTACATCTCTACAAAAAAAACAAAATTTAGCCGGGCATGGAGATTCATGCCTGTAGTCCCAGCTATTCAGGAGACTGAGATGAGAGGATCACTTGAGCCTTGGAGACAGAGATTATAGTGAGCTGAGATCTCACCATTGCGCTCCAGCCTGGGCAATAGAGCAAGACCTTGTCTCAAAAAAAAAAGATCATAAATCAGAGGTTGCAGATGGTGGCCTACAATAACATTTAGCCAGCAGACATACCCCACACACCTTAACTTTCTATTATGAAGAATTCTGAATACGCAAAGGAAGACAGGATGGTATAATGAGCCCCTACCCAAGCCCAGCAACCATTGACTGGTGGCCATTGCTTCTCCAGCCATTCTCCCTTCACAAATTATTATAAAGCACCTCCCAGGTATCGTAACATTTCATTTATAAATATTTAGTATGTATTGCTAAAAGATAATTTTTTAAAACAAGCACTATATTCCCTAAAAAATTAACAATTTTTATTCAAATTATCTTTTGTGTTAACCAATGTGATAATTTTAAGTTTCTTTTATTTATTTCTTTGTATATATTTTTTACAGATAAGGTCTTGCTCAGTTGCCCAGGCTAGAGTATAGTGGCCCAGTCATAGCTCACGGCAGCCTCAGTCCTCCCACCTCAGCTTCCCAAATAGCCAGGATTACAGGTGCATGCCACCATGCCTGGCTAACTTTTCTAGTGTTTTAAAGTTTGGGGTCTTGCACTGTTGCTCAGGCTGGTCTTGAGCTACTAGACTTCTCTCTCAGCCACTTAAACAGTGGGGACTACAGGCATGTGCCACTGTGCCCATCCTTTCTTTTAATTTATAAGTTCCCCTTCTCTTTTTTTTTTTTTTTCTTATGGTTTTGCTGAAGAAATTGGATTGTTTTTCCTGGGAGTATTATACCTTTTTCTGGGAATTTTCAATTGTATTCCTCTGGTGTACTTAACATCTTCCTTTGGCCTCTCTATTTCCTGTAAATTTGTGGTTTACACTTTTTTAATAGAGATGGGGTTTCACCATGTTCACCAGGCTAGTCTTGAACTCTTGACCTCAAGTGATCCACCCACCTCTCAGCCCCCCAAAGTGTTGGGATTACAGGTGTGATCCCCTGTGCCCAGCCATGGTGGTTTATAGTTAGTTAATATATACTTAATCCAGTTGAGGTTCCATTTTTTTGGGTCAGCTACTTCACAGGTGGTGGGTGCTGTGCTCTCCATCCTCTGAGGAGGCACGTGGTATTTGCTTATCTCTGTGGTGTTTATAGTCATGCTGTTCAGTGTCTAGGTTCAGTAATTCATTATGGATGGTGAAATGTGGTGTTCTAATTATATCGTTCCCTGTTATTTATTAGCTGAAATATTTCTATAAAGAGAAACTTCCCCCCACCTACTGTTTGGTTACCCCATGAAATGGTTGGTATAGAAATGTCAGAATAAATGCTTGATTTGTTCTCTTTGTCAGCTTTCAAAATAATAAGGTGACTACAGAGCATTTCGGTTATGCAATTTTTCTTAAAAATTCAGAGTTCCAGTTTCTTTTAAGAAACCAGAAGTCCTGGCAG